GCTGCCCTGTCCTGGTTCGAGTCCCGCTGGGGGTGTTGGCAAAACCTAGGCGAGGTCGAACTGCAGTCTAACCTAGATGGGGACACCTTCTGGGAAAACAAGACTATGTGAAATTCAATGGAAACGTTAGCTTTATTCATATAATTGTGGAAAAATTCAACTACCGTTACTTTATCACCTTAAACGAAATAGGGTGAATACACCCAGTATAACTGATTTACTGGTAGTCTCGAAACACAACATATAAACGAAAAATGCTAATGAGGTGTTCAATCTTGTTACACCTGTCCGATAGCTTGGTACCAAATTTCTGTCCAGACACACATTAACGCATATAGTTGACCATACCTTTTATAAAAGTATGAAGCGTGCATTTAATACAGATTCCCTCTTAATGCAAATACCAACTCAAAATGCATCTATTGGTCAAATTATGAAAGGTCGTATCCCGGATTCCTCGCATGAAAGTGAATGAACCTTGTTCGGAGTACTCTGTAATCACGACAATTTCTAGCATCAGACCGTGTATTTTATACATTCTCAGACATTTCGTCGGCATCGCGTCCCTTCTCATAAGCGCGCCCTATCAGTCTTAGCACCAGGCTACAATGCGTCAGAGACAAGTGAAGTTCATCTCTTGATCAATTTCCTATCAAACAATAATTCTTGGTTTCGAAACATCTGGGAACGCTCCAAGTCCACGGTCCGACGCTGGAAATCATCATGACTGCTGTGGTCACCCCGACAGCATGACCAAGTTGCAAAACAAAGCCAAACCGCTTTTATGTTGGGCATCCGGAAAGTCTCAGAATACTGGGTCATGCGAGGGTAAACGATCTTTCAGCATAAGGTCAATAGATTCACGCTGGAGTATTTCGCAAGGATTGCATTAAAGAGGCACACTCTCTACTTTTCCGATTGCGTGGCCGACTAGGCACGTAAATATGCACCCGGACAGACACCAAGCGCTAAGTCATCACACAAGTGCAACACCGAAACCCTCACTGGGGGCCTTTTTGAAGGCGACTTGCGAATGAATCCAAGCTGCGAAAAAAGGATCAAGCCAGGGACAATGGTATCAATTTGGGCTGTGGTTAGTATGCCAGAAGGCTCCCGTCGCTAAGTGGTGTAGACAAGTCGTTCCAGTAGATGGGAGCAGAAAGGGTCATTCTATAGGGCTCGGGGCAGGCTCGAGGATCGGCATCACGGCCCCACGACCTCGCGACCTCACGACCAGATCAAAAGCAGCTCAGCCAAAGGGATCGCCGGAGTCGTGAGGATCATAACCATAGCCTGGCCGATCTCGCGTACCTGGCTTGTCGATCCGAGCTGTCGCGTGCCACATCGCTCGAAGCGCCTTCGATCAGCCGACTCTGCCCCCACCAGGATCCAGACTCGAGTAAGGCGTGTGAATCACAGGCAACGCAAGTCACTGGGCTCGCTTTCGACATGTAGGCGCGTTCATCCACTGATCGACGAGGCTTGACCAGAGACCGAGCTGCCAGATGATCCAGTGAAAATGGGGTAAATTAAAAGTAATTTGCGAATTATCAACATACTAGCATATGTGATAGTCCGCATCAAGCTAAAAAGTAGAATAGGTACAGGCCTTGGTGTGTATAGACTTCAACAGCAAACAGCAAATAGCCATACTTGGTGTGTTTACCA